CCGCCGCGCCCCGCCGGCGCGGGAGTGGCTGGCGGCGCGGCGCGCGGTGGTGGACAGCGCGGCGCTGAGGATCCCGGAGCTTGGGGCGTATTTTGACGCGATCGGGCTGGGTGTGCAGGAGGGCGGGGGGCGGGGCCTTGTGCCCAACGCGTCGCTGCGCCGGGCGCACCCTGACGACCCGGTGTATGTATAGCAGCCTGCGGGGCGGCTTTCTCGGTGCCGCGAAGCCCCTGAGAGTGCCGCGCCCACGCTGTGGACGGGTGCAGAGATTCACACTCATGCGTTGGGGTTGCTGTGGTCATGTGCCATGTCAAGATTTTCCCTAGTACAATATTACAACATTAAGTGACACAATACAACTGGGTTTGTGTGTGTGTGTGTGTGTGTGTGTGTGTGTGTATTGGAGGCCTTGCTTGCCACTTGATGCTACCTGACCTGGGTCACCAGGTGTGGGCGGCGTCGACAAACGTTCACAACAGTGCATGTGGTGGTCCCAAGGCCCACGTACAGCTGGCACCGAGCCTTGCATGCGTCCTGCGCAAACCCGTACAGTAACAATTTCAAATCAGCAGGAACTGCACACGCGAGGTTCACTTTATCCTGAAGCAGTCTGCCGCAGCAGCCAATACACCATACGCCTTTATGCCGGCTGCCTTGACAGTCCCCCTCTTTCATGGCAAGGCTGCACAATTGCCAGGATTGTGCTTTGGCTCAAAAAGCATGTGTGACTCGCGTTGCTAAAGAGCAAATGATGCATTTGTGCTGAAAGCATTCATCTCGAATGTGCGCGCCGGTGATCGTCAGCAAGACACGAGCGGCACTCGACTCATTGACCATAAACTTGTTCTTTGAAGTCATCCTGCTGCAGCGGTCCGACAGTATGAGCCGTGCCGTGCATGCACCCTGTGCTGTCAATGGATGAAACTACGCAATTATAAAATGCCACATACCTTGGCTGCCTGTGGCAATGCCCATCAGTCTGCAGCGTGCAGTTTTCTCCAGTGTCCCTATTATGTAATCAGCTGGCCCCGCAGTGAAAAGTGACATCGCAGAACGTGGCACGCTCGTGCGAAAGCCTTGCTGCGATTGGCATTAACATGCAACCCGCCCCGGGTTTGTCTCAGCGCAGAATTATGACAGTGATCTCGACACTGACGGTATAATGGAGGACGGCGACGGGCCAGCCCTCGTCGAAAGCATTGTGCAGAGCACAACGAACATAGAGTTGGTCGTCGAGGCGCTACAAACCTCGGATGGAGGAGAGGTGCTCAAAAGCTTGGGCGTTGAGTTGGAGGAGGAGGTGCGGCGCACACGTGCGCACCGCTGCACAGCCTTTGCATGCGTTGGTGAGCAGAGTCTTGGCTGCCGAGCGTGGCCCAACATCATAGAGTGTAATTCTCGCCACGCGAACTGAGATTCGCACTGCGCGGCCTGTGATCCTGCTGTGCCCATAATCCTCCCTGTGCAACGCAGGGCGCGCAGCCTGCCGAGCCGGCGCGGGGCCTGGGCTGGCTGTTCGTGCACCAATTCCTGCTGCTGGAGCAGAAGCACGCGGGCCACCAGGACTCAGGCCCCCCAAATGCGGACGCTCTGATGATGGAGGGTCTCCTCGGCTGGGCCTCTGGCGGTGGCGAGCTGAGGGTGCGTGCCGCCTGAGCAATGCGCGCTTGCGCTTGCAGTGGCAGCTTCTGCCTTGGGTCATGATGTGTTCCTTTCCTTCCGAAAGCAGCGACCATGCCATCAGCAGCAGGGGTTTGACAGGTCCGCAAGTCCTTGCAATCGCCGTTGCCTTTGTGCATCCAAACCACCCCTTCCGACCGCCCCCCTGCGGTGCCCGCAGGCGCCCGTCGTCGCCCTCGTCAAAGACGGCCGTGTCATCGAAAGGGTCCTGCCCCTCTCCCGCGCCTCGGCGGCGCCCCTGGCCAGCCAGCGCCCCCTGTCGCGCGCCGCGCAGCTGGCCGAGCGATTCGGGGTGGGGCGCGGCGCGCTCGCCGTGGCAGCCGCAAAGGGGCGCGTGCTGCGGGCGCTGCGGGAGCTGGCTTTCAACAAGCAGAGGCTGCGGGAGCTTGCAGAGCAGCAGGCTGCTGGGGCCGGCGATGCTGGTGGAACGCACCTTGAACAGGCGGCGGGGCCAGCCGAGGGTGCGAGGTGAGCAGGGGCGTTCTTGCCCGTTCGGCTGCGGGTCTTGGCCTTGGGCTACGATGTGGCATTTTGATTGTATGTGGGTCAAAGGTCTGGTCAAAAGAATGTGCTCTGGGCGTTCGATGCACTTGCATTCAATGTGATGAAGGCGGTTGTCACCTGTCACTTTCGCAGCCACCTGCAGGAGGGCGTGGCTTTGCATACCGACGAGGTGGCGCGGAAGAGCCGGGAAATGTGGGAGGCAGTGAGCGCACTCAAGGCACTGCTGCGGCTCCAACAGGGAACATCGCAGCATCAGCAGGAGCAGCAGCACGATGAGCAGCAGCAGCAGCAGCAGCAGCAGCAGCAGCAGCAGCAGCAGCAGCAGCAGCAGCAGCAGCAGCAGCAGCAGCAGCAGGGGGAGCGGCATCAGCAGCAGGCCAATGTAACGCAGGAGCAGCAGCCGCCGCCGCCGCCGCCGCCGCCGCCGCCACCGCAGCAGCAGCAGCCGCCGATCCAGCAGCATGTGCCGCCGTCGCAGCAGCAGCAGCCGCGGCAGCCGGCGCCAGCAGTGGCCACCACTGACCGCCACGCAAGCGCACTGCGGGAAGGCAGCTCAGCGCTGGCAGTGCCTCACGCAGCGCCAGCTGTCAGCGACGCTGCGCCCCCCAGCCTGCCGCCGTCTGGGCCCTCTGGGAGCAGCGTCGGCGGCGCTGGCGCTCCAATCGGCAGCCCGCCTCTCGTCACCCTCACGTCGGCTGACGGCCAGCAACGCAAAACTGGCCTGCTGCACATTCTGTTTGTCCCGGAAGCCGATCTGAGGGAGATTTTGACAGATGCGGACTCTGTGCTTGCCCGGGCGCATGCCTATGCAGCGGCGCATCCGGACGAGATGGAGAGGGCTCGCGAGGAGGTCGCGCGAGCGAGAGGGCAGCAGGGGCAGCCGCAGGCGCGACCAGGAGCTGGCGGTGACAGGGAGGGGCGCGGGGTGAAACGCGAGGACGCCGGGGCGGGAACGGCGATGGGGCAGCGCGTGGGCGAGGCTGGCCTGGCGCAGCAAGAGCAGCAGACGCAGGCGCGGGCGCAGCCGCAGCCGCAGCCGCAGGCGCAGCCGCAGCCGCAGGCGCAGCCGCAGCCGCAGGTGCAGGTGCAGCAGCGGCAGCACCAGGGTGGGGTTCCGGATCTTGAATCGCCGTTCTTGCAGCAAACGCAGCTGGCAGCACAAGCAGCGGGCCTGGAGGATGCGCAGACTGGGCAGCAGCAGCAGCAGCAGCAGCAGCAGCAGCAGCAGCAGCAGGATGCGCGTCTGCTGGCCTATGGCAGCAGCGTGCCTATCGCGCAGGCGGCGTCGCAACATTCTCGCGACCCACGGCGCCGGGTGCGCGCCAGCCTGGGCGCTGCTACTCTCTCGGGGCTGCAGCCGGTGCCTAGTGTGGCGCAGTCGGTGCAGGCGGCACACCCTCTGCAAGGAGCGCACGCTAGCGGCACCGCCCCGCCTCAACAGCTTTTGGCGTCCGCCAGCGCGCCTGCGCCTGCTGCCCAGCTGCAGCAGCCGTACGGCTTGATCCCGTCCGCCGCTGCAGCCGCGGCGTGGGGGCCCGCGCCGCAGCAGCAGGGCACTACTGGTGGCGTGGCAGTGCATCCGCTGGCGCATGGCATCACAGGTGCCCTGCCTGGGAGCGGCTCGGTGGGGTCGTCACTGCTGTCAGCACACCTGCAGCCTGGTCCGCAGCAGCAGCCACCGCCGCAGCTCCAGCAGGCGCAACAGCAACAGCAGGCACAACAGCAGCAGCATCAGCAGCTGCAGCAGCAACAGTACCCATGGCAGCAAAATCAGCAGCAGTACAATCAGCAGCAGTACTCACCAACAACCTTTACTACCCCGCAGCAGTACGAGCAGCACGTTCAGCAGCAGCAGCAGCAGCAGCAGCAGCAGCAGCAGCAGCAGCAGCAGCAGCAGCAGCAGCAGCAGCAGCAGCAGCAGCAGCAACTGCAGCCGCCGCAACAGCAGCAGCAGCCGCCACAACCCGTTGAAGTCTTCACCCCCTGCGCACTGTGTGCTTCCGGCAAGCCGGTAGGAGGGTGTGACAAGTGCCAGGCTGTTTCTGACTTGCCAAGCTGTGGTTGTCCCTGCAATGACAACCCCACTCTAGACCCCGCCGACTGCACCCCTTTTGCTGGCGCACCCCTCCCACCACGACGTTTCAAACCTCAGTCGACAGCTCCTGCCCCGCCTCACTCTCCTGCCTATCGGACCCGCAGGACTGGCGCGGCACAGTGGTCTGGTCGGACCGCGGCCCCGGCCTCGACGGCCGCCCGCCGCTGCCAGGAGACGACATCGGGATCGACGTGTGCGGGCACTTCTTTGCGCCGCAGGCACTGCGGTCGTCGGACCCCGGTTTTTGGGCGCGCTACTCGCGGCTGCCGCCCGTGATCAGGATGGGGCCGGGTTTCGTGGCTCAGGATGTGGCGTTCCCGCGGTTTCAGGCCCAAAATGGGGAGCTGCAATTGATCAACGGCAAGCCTGACCTCAGGCGAGCTTCTGTTTGCAACTGCAGACATCATCGAGTTTGTGCGTGTGTGCTTGTGTACTTGTGAGTGTGTTGATGATTGTGCATCATGTTGTTGGGCTTGTGCGTTTTCATTTGCGTGCGTGCGTGCGTGCGTGTGCGCACGCACAGGTGCTTGCGTGCACGCAAATCTCGCATGTGTATATGTGTGAGCGTATGTGCCTGTGCGCGTGTGTGTGCATTTGTGTATGCGTGCGTGTCTGTGGGAGGGGGTACGTGTGCATACGCACACATGTGCATGTGTGCATGTTTGTGTGTGAATATGCGGAAGGTGGTAGGATTCAGGCCGCTTTTGTGCGGGTGCGTTTGAGATAGCGAGCTGCCCTTGCACCTCAGCTCGCGCACCTGCCTGACCGTCCCTTGGCCGCACACGCATCCCCCTCCCCCCCCCCCCCTTGGCAGCGCGCCGCCAAAGGAGGGGCGCACCTGGGATGGCGCCACGATGCTGCTGGCGCCGGCGAGTGCGGACAGCACCCAGCGCATGCACGACGTCCATGTGGGTTGCCGCGCTGGCTGCCCCTTTGTATGCATTGACAAGCAACCCCTGGAGAAAGTCTAGAGTGGAAATGCCCAGGGTACCCTGAGCACCACTTGGGAAAAATTTGTGATGCTGGCTGGCCCCGAACGAGCCCGGTCGTGTCGATGCGGCAAAGCGGCGCACCTCAAGCCCGCTTCCCGTCTCCCGTCCTTGCGGCGCGTCGCGTGTCCTGATGGGCCCCTGTCGACGCGGCATCATACGTACACATTGTGCCCCCTGCCCGCAGTCCAAGATGCGGTTCAGCTGGAATCAGCACAAGGACAAGACGGTGGGTGGTCCGCTTTACTGCAGAGTTGCCTGCGCAAGCCTCTGGGCGGCGAGCCTCTGGGCGGCGAACACGCACGCCGCCGGCTTGCAAACAGAGGTGCTGGGGTGTTCAACGCGCCCGGGCGGCGCTGATCCTGCACAGACGCCTGCCCCAAGTTGCCCCTTGATTCTGCAGCAGTGGCCTCTCGCTCTGTCAAGGGTGTCTTACCCCTTGCCATATGGGATGTGAGGGCAATGCTGCAGAGTCGAGCGGCGACCTGCAAAGGCAGTGCAGGGTGCAGTGCACCCTTCTCCACCCCACCTCCCTACCTGCGCCCCCTGCCCCCCCAGCCCCCGCCCCCTGCTTCCCTAAACTCTCTACGCCCCAACCTGCCTGTGATGCCCACCCCAGGGCCTCTTGTACCTTCCTGGCAGCTTCGGGGGGGTGCTGGATGACAGCGCCCCCGGGATGGAGCTCGGCGCTGACGTCATCATGCCGTACAGTGGGTGACTCACCACACGAGGAGCACAGGCCATGGCAGCAGGGGCCCACGATGCAACCGCCCGCAACTCAGGCGCCTTGCTTGTGGGTCGGCATGAGGGCGCCTTGGCAAGCGCGAGGCCGGCGCATCATTTGCATGTGCCTGTTCACCCTTAAGGGCCGTGCCCGCCCCTGCGGCCGTTGCTGCCCCCTGTGGAGGACTTGCGCAGTGCCTCTATCCCCTGCATGCCCTGCAGACTGGGACAGCCTCCTTTACAAACAATTCTTGGAGCCTGGCCTGCCCCCAGAGGCGAATAACGTCATCGAGGCCAACGGGAGGGCCGCCTGCCTGATGGCGCTCAGCTGGTGGACGCGGCGCCTGGGGGAGCAGGGGGCACCGAGGCAGGTCCAATTGCCTCGGTGGCCGGGGCAGCAGCCGGTGGCAGCAGCACCCGCGGCGCCCGCCGCCGCGGCGGCGGTCGTGTCAGCAGCGGCGGCGGCCGCGAAGATGCCGGCAGCGGCGCCAGCGGCTGCGGCGGTGGTCGTGTCAGCAGCGGCTGTGCCGGCGGCGGCGGTGGTTTTGCCAGCAGTGTCTGCCGTGGCAGCAACAGCGCCCGCGGTGGCACCTGCGGCCGCTGCCGCCACAGCCGCGGCCGCCACAGCAGCAGCAGCAGCAGCAGCAGTCAGAGGCGCCACGCCTGCAGGTGTGTCCCTGCCAACCCCGCAGGTCGATTTTGGCGGCTTTGAGGACAGCTGCGACCTTCCGCCCTCTGCATCGGCCGCGCTCGCAAACGGCACGGTCGCCAGCGCCGGCGCCGGCCCTACGGCTGATCCTGCTGGCGGCAGGGGCCAGCAGCAGCAGCAGCAGCAGCAACGCCAGCACACGCAGAAGGTTCCCCAGGTGATCAACCCCTACCCGCTGCTGCCGCGCATGGGCGCCGCGGCGTGCCTCACGTGGCACGCGCTCGAGGGCGCGGCGGCGGCGGCGCGCGCGGCCGATGCGGTGGAGTCGGCGCGGCGCGCGCAGGGCGGGGAGCTGCGGGAGCTGCCTGGGTTGTTGACCGGCGCGGTTCGGCCGCGGTCCTGCGAGGAGCTGTGCCGCGAGGTGGGGCTGGTGGTGGGTTGGGTCGGGGCGTTCAGAGCCGTCGGGGCGTTCAGAGCCTCCGGGAATTGCGTTCGAATCTCAGGCGTTCATCGTGGCCGGCGTCGTGCGGCTGTCGGGGATCGCACCAGCAGCCACGCATGCCGCCACTGGAGGGC